TCATTTTTCATTCTCCTATTTAAACAGGAAATTAAATTCTGGCTATTATTACATAATTCTTAACAACTTGATTTGCAGAACAGTTTCCTTATGACAGCAGATCATAGGAGTTAGAGCGGGAAGGGAACTTAGAGGTCTAACCCTCCTCATTTTATACCTGAGGAAGTTGGGGTCCAGAAAGGGCGTGGCTTACCCAGTATCATGTAGATAATACAAAATAGCTTACATTTATACATAGTGCTTTAAGTTTTGGGAAGCTCTTTACATAGATTGCTTGAGGTAATTAAGTGTCAGAGCTGGAACCTAAACATCTTGACTCAAAATGCAGCATTTTAGGGAGATGGGTGAAGCATTTTTATGTGTTTACTGTTGCTAAACACAGTACTAAGTATTTGTTGTTGTTAAGTTTCAGTGGTATTCTACTCTTCCTGACTCCGTTTGGGCTTTTCTTGGCAAAGATACTGGAGTAGTTTGCCATTTCCTTTTCCCAGTCATTTTACAGATGAAGAAACTGAGGCAAACAAGGTTAAGTGACTTGCCTAAGGTCATACAGCTAGTAAGGCCAGATTCAAACTCAGAAAGATGAGTTTTCCTGACTCCAGACCCTGTACTCTGTGCAGTATGGAACCACCTAGCTGCCCTAAGGATGGTGGACACTAATAGAGGCAACAGTGACAGTCCTTGCCCTCTGGGAGTGTTTACATTCTAATGAGGAAGATGATGCATAAAGGAGAGCTGGAGAGGGGGTGGGGAGGGAGGTGCACCTGTCCCAGCAGTATGGAGGTGGTGAATTGTTCTGGAGGCCTGGTGCTGGTCAAGGTAAGGTGAAAGTTCACTTATCAGAACCAGGGGACCCAAGGTAGAGTCTGAGGATTGGGAATGGGGTTGAGATATGGAAGATGGCCCCAGTGTATTGGCAGCCTGGTGAGGAGGAGATAGCTTGGAAGTGACCGAGGAAGCATGGTGTTCTGAATGAGGGAGGTGACGATCTTGGTTTGCTCTGCTGTAATGTTTTCAGTTTGGGGTAGCTTGTTTTCAGAAGCTCATCTTTCCACAGGACTTCAGCATTTAGAAAGCACTTTACTTAAGTTATCTGCTTGGAGTCCCACACCAACCTTCTGAAGAAGAGGCTTTTATTATTCTTATTTCTGTAGATGAGGAAACTGAGGCTCAGTGAGTTTGAATGACCTGTCCAGGATTCTGCAGCTATCAAATATTTGAGGTGGGATTTGAACCCAGGTCTTCCTGGCTCCAAATCCATTATGACTCACTGCCTTTCTGGAGTATAACTGGAGTGTCCTATGGGAGCAGGAATTATATTTTGTTTCTACTTCATGCCGCGGAGGGAGGAAGTAGGAACAATGGGTGAAGGTGTAGAGAAACAGGTTTCAGCTAGAAATAGGGGGGGGGGGAAGTCAGCTCAATCAAAAGCATTTATTAAGCTCATGCTCTATCTTTAGGGTGTATGGGGCGCTCAGGGAGGACTGGCACCTCTGGTGTGAGGGCTTGCTGAGCCCTTTTCAGGGCTGCTCGTCTGCCTTTGGGGTCCACCTGTCATCCAGCTCTCACCTGTGGCTCCAAGAAGCTGTAGTGTGTGCAGCGGCCTCACCTGGGTAAAACCATCTCCATTGATGGGCTAAACCAGGTTGAGGGTAACAAATAGGCCTCATTCCTGTCGTTGAGTTAGGAGGATGTCTTCCCTAAGCATGTGAATACTTCCTCTGGTGGAATGGGCAGACGAGAACAATTTGTTCCAAGGGCCATGATGGAAATGCAAGCAGGTGCTGTGGAGTGCTTAGAGCTTGGTCGGACGTCGAAGACACCAAGGTCATCTGCTGCATCTTGGGCCATTGCCACTTGTCCTGACTTTTGTTACCACTGGACTTAAATGACTCTGGAAGAGAGAGTAAGGCTTTGATGACTTTGTGCAACTCTGCCTCATTTAAATAGAAATCACCCACCTGTGATATCATTGGTCATCTTATACCTCTCAGGCACCGTGCCAGGTGATGGGAGTGTAAAGACCTTGACCAGAGTAATCTCTATTAGCAAGAAACTGCCTTTCTAATGGGGGGGTGACAGTTAGAACTGTTCAGAAGTAGAATGTGCTGGCCTGGGAGATATTGAGTGTCCCCTCACTGACAGTCTTTGAGATCCCAAGTGTCCTCAGTGCGCTACGGGAGGTTCTAGAGGGGATTCCTGTTCAGGTACTGGTTGTCTGGTCCTATCCATTCTGAGATTCAGTGATTCCTTTTGTCCCCAAGGCTTTTCTATTAGAGGCTAGTGTGTGGTCTGGTGGTAAAAACCGTCCTCTGAGAGCTAGGTTTCTTAAGTTCTTCTGGTTCTGCCAATAACTCTGTGTGGCTGAGAACAGGTCATTTTACCTCCCTAGGCCTCAGTTTCCTCATCTGTAAAATGTACAGATGGGACTAGATCATTTCTCAGGTTTGAATTCTAAGATTCTACATAGGCTGCAAGTGATGGTTATTGTTTTGAATCTCCATAGCATCTCGCATATAGTGTGTGTGTGTGTGTGTGTTTGTGTGTAGGTGAGCAACTAAAGATAGATAAAGCACTAGATCTGGATTCAGGAAGATCTGAGTTCAAATTCCACCTCAGATACTTAGCAGCTGTGTGACTCTGGGCAGGTCACTTTAACCTCTGCCTGCTCCCATTTTCTTATCTGTATAATGGTGAAAGAGCAGCTAGGTTATGCTGTGGATAGAGCACTAGGCCTGGAATCAGAAAGACCCGAGTTCAAATGTGGCAGATACTTAGCAGCTGTGTGACTTTGGGCAAGTCACTTAACCCTGTTGGTCTCAGTTTCCCCATCTGTAAAATGAACTGGAGAAGGAAATGGCAAACCATTCCAGTGCCTTTACCAAGAAAACCCCAAAAGGGGTCACAAAGAGTCAGCTGTAACTGAAATGTCTAAACAACAAAAAAATGGAGATAATAACAGCACCTACTTCCCGGGGTTGTTGTGAAGATACAGTGAAATATTATTTGTAATGTGCTTTATAAACCCTACAGCACTATACAAATGATGGTTATGATGATCTAAGGACTTGTTTAGTAGTTCATTGCCTCCTGGAGCTTTTCCTCTTTGGCTAATTTTAGAGAAATCTGACTTTGGTGTAAATCAGGAGTTCTTAACTTTTTTTTTCTGTCATGGACCATTTGACAGTCTGGTGAAACCTATGGGCTCTTTCTCAGAATGATGTTTTTAAATGCATAGAACCCCAAATTAAAAGGGAACCAATTATATTGAAATAAAAATATCAATATACTTATTTTTAAAACACACACACACACACACACACACACACACAGAAAGAAGTTCACACAAAGTTAAGAGTCCTATGTTTTAAACTGCCCCTTTTCCTGGCTGATTCTCTGCATATTATCTGGCTCTCTCTGGTCCTGGAGTTTCTCTCTTGACTTTTCATACATGTACCCCATATGCTCCATTTTACCGGATTTTGAAACAGGAGCATACTGTTGACAAGGAAATGTGCATGCCAGGTTTATTTCCATTAAGTCTTTGCAAGGAAGCCTGATTTGAGGAATGGGGGCACTTGAGCAAGAAAAATGAAGAAGAGATTTGAAAGGGGTGGCCAGGAGATACCTGCGGTTGAAACATATCATTCCCTAACCAGTGTCTGAAAGCCAGCCCCACATTGCCTATTTTTTCCAGCCCCCCTCTGCAGATTGTTTTTTGGACATGCTGTGCCCTTGCAGTCTAGAATGAAGTTTCCATGGTTTGTCCCGATCTGTTGTTAGGACCCTGTGATTTGCACGGCACTTGCAGGACAAATAAACTTCAGATCTGGTCACCTCCAGACCAGGGTGCTTTGACATCTGTGTTATCCAGAATAAATAACCTGTGGCCCAGTGCTCCCTGCCTCTTATTCACTTTAAACAAGGCTGATGTGTTGTTGTTTTCTATTTTTTTTTATTTTTCAGAGCTGTTAAATTGGCATGGCAGCCTGTACTTCTTTACACTGGCAGCTGGTACTCTCAGCCTCCAAAGGGCTCTAGTTTCACTCTTGACGCAGGTTGCAGTGCTGTGGGTTGGACTGCAGGCTGCCCCGAAACTGATAGGGGAGGTGAATCATCAGGAGGGGGAAATAAACACAATTTCTCTTGCAGAACAGGCTCCCAATGACTTCTCTGTTTCTGGAGATACTCCGAAAGCAGGAGTGATGGGGAGATACTTGCACAGTTTGGAAAAAGGGCAGTTACTGCCTGACTTGGCTGGGTACATTATCTCTCCAAGTTTAAATCCCATCTTGGAGGAGGGTGCCTGCTGTCCAATGCAAGGACAAGCAGCTGGTTGCTTTTCATGCACCAGCATATTACGCTAAAGAAAGTCATGTTGGATCATGCACTTTAAGAAATAAAGAATTCTGTTCCTGAAGCATTTTTCCTGGGGACCTAGCCAGCTTTTCCAGAACTCTTACGAACTGGGTTTAGCAGCAGGCAAGGGGAAGCTGTGTTTTTTGCAGACTTTTAGCCCAACTGAAACTAGTTGGGAAGTGGGAGGGGTGGGATGGAATTGGCGTAGGTTTGTGTGCACTGGACCCAAGCAGCTTCTGATAGCACCTGGAGGCCAGGAGGGACATTTCCCAGGGTGCCAAAAAGGAGTATTTCATAGGGTAGAAAAATTGCAAAAGTTGGCTTAAGTGTTGAGAATTCAAGCTGAAGTCACTTTAGAAACAGGACGCTGCAACATTCATTTGTCTCCTTTCCAGAAAAAGACCTTTCAGAAAAGAACATTTAAAATAAAAAGCGCCCAGTGTAGTCTCCATAACACGTGTCATGATCCAGAAAGTTTTTCTCTCGCTGTGTGTGTTCCCTTTTTTTTTTTTTAAACAATCCTGTGCTTCAGCGCCTCCATGTTTTCTGGCTTCTGTCCAGTTTCCTGTTTTACGTCACTTGCTGGTTAACTGCTGCAGCTTTTACAACTGTGCTTTCAAGTGTAATCTAAGCTGGAACTGCCCAACTTCAGCTGCCACGGCTCCTGCCTACCAGAGAGAGAGCACTCAATCTCCCCTCTATCTACCTTTCCCAGCCTCTGCCCCTTCCGACCTGGGCTGCAGGATTAGGAATCCTACAACGATCCAATTGCTTTGGGTCAGGAGAGAGAAGGGAAGCGGGGCATCGGGGCAGAAACCCCAGGTCACTTGCAAAAGGCCATCAACCTTTCCGGTGCACCTACCTTTTTGTTGTGCCTGTTTGGGAAGTAAGCCTTAATGATGTTTTGCTGGAAGGGCTTTTGAGTTCGACTCTTAGGCTCCTTTTTCCACCCCTCCTGCCCCTAGACTTGCTTGGTTCTCTACTTCATTTCTGGGAAGCCATGGACAAAAGGCAAGGTATATGTTGCAATGTTGGAAACCTGTGGAAATGGGGGTAGGGTGGCGAGGGGTGCGATCGAGGGAGCCCTAGTGTAGTTTAGTTATTTAAACAAGGATTATTTAATTTCATTTGGTGGTATTTTCACCTTTGCTTTAACAATGCGTTGGTTGCCTGCTCTTTCCCTTCCCCTGGAGGATCCCCCAAGTGGAAAATGCAAATGTGTATTGCCAGTGATTTGCTTGGAAAGCCAGTGTTGGGTGGGTAGGTAGGTAGAGAGTTGACTGGGATGATTTCAGGGGAAAAAAAAAAACACCACCACAACCCAACAACAACAAACTACAGTTTGCCTGGCTGCACGATTGAGTGGGAGTATTTTGGTTTTTGTTCTTGTTTTTCTTTTAAGTGGAGCTTGGTGGGCAAGGGTGGGTGCTAGCTTGGGTGTTTCCTGAACAGCCAAGGCCCCTCCCTCTCCCCACCTCCCTTGAACTGGGCAGGCCTTGCATGGATGAAGGGACGTGCAGACTTTGCAGTTCGCTAGCCTGATTCAGCAGAGGTGGAACAGGTGATGAGCACAATGGTGGTGGTGGTGGTGGTGGAGCTCTTTTGTAAAGATTACTTTTCTACTGCCCTGTTATGAATGCAGATATGATGTGTATGTATCTATAGAATGTTTATTCCCACCTCCTCCCCACCACCAGTGGTGCTGTTTTATCCATTTATGTGTGCATAACAATTTTTTTTTATCCCTAGCAAGGAGATAAGTTAATTTGTCTGAAAGACTTTGCTCCAACACAAACTATTCACTAGCATTCTTACTCCCTTAACCACATTGATTTACTCATTTCTGGGCTGTGGTATTGTCAGCTTTGCTGAGGGTAATTGCAAGGCCCCCCCCCCCCCCTTTTAAGCTTCTTTGCAGTGTTTCCTTAGCTTAAAGCTGTTTTGAAGTTGCTCAGTTTATCCATGGCCACCTAGATCCTGTTCTTGTGTCTTCAGGGGCACTAGGATTCCTGGCCTTCCTCCTTCTTCCCTCTTCCCTAAATGTACACCTACTTCTTTATCCTTTTCCCTTAAACCCAGGTCCTTGTATTTAGTGGTTTTTCCTTGTGCAAGAGACCAATTAATGGCAGTTGATTGATGGGGCACTAGAGTTCTAGGAAATCCAGGGTTGGAAGCTCTCGGTCTTTGTTCTGCACCTGGAGTGTTTGGGTCCTGGGGGTGGGGGGGTGGGGCTTCCCCAGCCTAACCTGCAGGTGGCCTGGGCACTGGGGAGGAGGTGCTGTTTCAAAGGTCAGTTCGGTCAAACAACTGCATTTTCTGATGTTGGCCCTGTGCTCCTGGCTTTCCTCTGACTGATGCATTGGGGCCAGGTGGAATCAATGAGGTGAATTGTCCATGCCAAGAAATCTGGGATACCATTCAGAGGGGGGGGAGTATGTGCATAGTTTGGGTGACGGGCAAGTATGATTGACCTGTCAGTCGAGGAAGTTAATAGATCTGTTAAGGCTGGAGGCTACAGAGAGGCCTCAGAGAAGAAGCCCAGAAGGAGGAAGTGCTTGTCTTTGAGGTCATGTGATTTAGGAAATCCAGCCGAATGACTTCCAAATCATTGTTGAATGTTTTTTTTTTTTTTGGTGGGGGAGGTGTCAAAGGAGGAGGAAGAAGGAATTATAGGACTATAGATTTAGAGCTGAAAGGGACCTAAGAGACCATCTAATCCAACTCCCTATTTTACAGATGAGGAAACTAAAGACCTGAGAAGTTGTGGCTTACCCCTGGTCACACAGGTAGTAAAGTGGTAAAGATGGGACCCGAGCCCAGGTCTTCCTAATTCCAAGTCTAGTCCTCTCTTCACTGTACCAGTGAATCTCAGAGACTGACCAGACCCACCCCTCCTTTTTAAAGATTAGGAGACTGTGGCCCTGGCGGGTGAAGGGACTTAAGGGTCTAAAGTCACCCAGGAAACCCAGGAGGCAGAATTCAAACCCAGGTCTGGCTCTTTTTACTGTACCGTGTTATCTCTGGGAGAAGACCAAGACCTCATACTTCCCTTGCTTCTCTGCAGGCCTCCTTGGTGAGTCATGGGGGGGGGGGGCGGAGGAAACAGGGAGCAGGTGGAAGGGGGAGGGGTAGTCTCCTTTAGGCTGGTTTCCTGCTCCAAAGGTAAAGGCCCGCAGCTGCTGGGATGGTCTTGACATCACACTCCCAAGTGCTCATCACACACTGCTGAGATGTGCTGAGTGGGAGTCTGCCCAGCTGTCAGAATCTGCCCACCCACCTCTCAGGTGCCAGGCTTCGGCTCATGGTGCGGGACAACCACATACATGCATTTAGGTTTCTTTTTCCTAACCTGAGCCCTTGATAAGAGTAGCAGGAAAGCCCCTGGCTTGGAGGAAACTGACTCGAGGGAGGACATCCATCCCAGTTTGATCCCAAAAGGGAACCAGCAGTCAATCAGTAAGTGTTTATTAAGAATGCGTTGTGCCAGGCACTGTGCTAAGTTCTAGGCTGAGCTGAATCAGGGATGTTTTTATTGACCTTCCTGTCTGGGTTAGAGGCCCTCTTAACCACCTGGCCCAATCCTCTCTTAAAACTTTTTTAAATTGATACCTTTTGTTTTTACAGCACCAGCATTTCCCAGTATTTCTCTCCTTCCTCCCCACTTCCAGAAGGTCATCCTTTTAAACAAAGAATTTTTAAAAGAAAAAAAAAAGCAGATTTCACTAAAGTAACCAACACAAAACAAATTCAAAATCATATGTAATGTTCTGTACCTGTACTCCCAACACCTGCAACGAAGAAAAGAGACAAATTCTCAAATCTTTTTTTTTTTTGAGGCCAGGCTTTTGATTATTATATTTTAACTGCATGACCTCACTTTCCTCTTTTAAAATAAAATTTTATTGATAGCTTTTCTTTTTCTTTTTTTTTTTTGTGTGTGAAGTAATTAGGGGTTAAGTGACTTGCCCAGAGTCACACAGCTAGTAAGTGTTATGTGTCTGAGGCTGGATTTGAACTCAGGTCCTCCTGACCCCGGGGCTGGTGCTCTATTCACTGCCCCACCTACCTGCCCCAATAGCTTTTATTTTTAACATTACACAGTTTCTCCTGTATCTCTCACCCGTCCCAGAGAGCCATCCCATATAACAAATAACATTTTTTAAAGAAAAAAAAAAGAGGAAAAAAATCATCAAAACTGATCAATTCATCAAAAAAAGTCTGAAAATATATGCAGTGTTCTACACCCACGGTAGGGATGCAAAAGAATAGGGTAGGGATATCTTCTCATAGTTCTTCTTCAGGGCCTTGCTTGTTCTTAGTAATTTTACAACATTCACTTTTATTGTTTTATATTTGTTCTTTCCATTAACGTTGTTGTAGTCATTGTGTATATTGTTTGCTTGGATTTGCTTACTTCACTCTTCATCAGTTCATTTAAGCTTCTTATCAGTGACCTCCTTGAGATATAGGGCCTCGTAGTGAAATCTCTGGGCCAAAAGGGATGGACATTTTTGTCACTTTATTTTCATAATTCCAAAATGCCAATACTGATGCACACTTCCACCAGCAATATACCAGTGGGACTCTCTTACCACACAACCACTCCAACATTGAGCATTCCCATCTTTTGTCATATTCGCTAATTTGCTGGATGTGAGGACTTAGAACTGCTTTGATTTGTATTTTTCCTTTGTTAATGATAAGGTGTATGGTTTCATGTAGTTAGTAATCATTTGCAATTCTTCTTTTATTCATATCCTTTAAGGGGCCCTATCTTCCTGAGATGTAGAGATGAGCTCTGTGGTTAATGGGTGGGATGATGTAGTGGAAAGAGTAGTGACTGGGAAACTGTGGCATCACTCCCAGTTTGACACATCCTTTTAAGCCGTGTGACTGTGTTTTGCACATTTCTAATGTATTTATCATGTATTATTATTGTGTGTTCTTGTTATCTATTTGTCCTTTATCCCCTCTCCCATACTCAAAGCTCCATGAGGCCAGGGATGATAGCATATCTTACCTGCATTTTGTATCTTACCCTGCAAAGGACGGATTCTCAATACATGTTGAATGGATAGCTGTCCCTCCCGGGTCGTAGACTCCTAGGATTCAGTCAATGAATAAGCACTTATGAAGTGCCTAATGTTTGTCCTTGTGCTAGGCACTGGATATACAAAATCAAAAGTCAAATAATATTGTCTGTCCTCCAGAAGTTTATATTACAACAGAGACAACATGTGCTATGTAAGTTTTTTAACAAAGCAGAGAGATACATGGTAACCTTTGAAGGGAAGGCACTAGGAGCTGGTGGGGGAAGGACATAAAAGGATGTTCAGACCATTATGTTCATGAGAGACAATAGAAAAGCACCAAGAGGGGAGATGGATTGTGGTGTGTGAGGAACAGCAAGTCGGATAGATCAGAGTGAGGGGAAGGAAGTAGTGTGCAAAAAGACTGGAAAGGGGGCAGCTAGGTGGTGCAGTAGATAGAGCTCTGGCCTTGGAGTCAGGAGGACCTGAGTTCAAATTTGACCTCAGACACTTGACACTTAACTAGCTGTGTGACCCTGGGCAATTCACTTTACCCCAATTGCCTCACTTAAAAAAAAAAAAAAAGGACTGAAAAGGTAGGATAGGGCCCAAATTGTGAAGACCTTTAAAGAAAAAAAAAGGTTTTTATTTGATCCTAGAGATAATAGGGAGCTAATGTAATTTACTAAGCAGGGGTGGTAACTTGGTCATCCTTGTAAAGGATATTTTGCCATAGAACTGGGAAAAGAGATTTAAAAAAAATTTTTTTTATCTTTCTGATTTGTGAGTTGTCTTAGACATACACATACATACATTGGAATGAAAAGGGATGGGGTCCAATCTTCTCATTTTACAGAAGGGGAAACTGAAGCCCAGAGAGACCCCATGATTTATTCAGTCATATAGGTAGCAAATAGCAAAGCTGGATTCAGAACCAGAACTTCTGACTCCAAATTGCCGAATTGCATGAAGCTTCATTAAGTGGC